GTCTCGTTCAGACTGTCATAAAAAAATCAGATTTGGGTCGGATTTGCCTGCAGTGTGAACGTAGCCCATGATACTAGAGCCTGTCTGTATAATGTCTTGCGACGTCCACGGCCTACCCCAGTTACCACTACTGTGCATGTGTGTCAAGGACAGAAAGGCAGATGTGGCAGTGGAAGGTGTCAAAGCAGTTTGGAGAGAAAAACAAAGTAAAGAACAAAAAAAAAAGAAAACGATTAATTGATTATTAAATTAGTCATTGATTATTTTAATAATCGATTAGTTGTCGATTAATCGATTAATCGTTGCAGCCCTATTGTCCACTGCCTCCACATGTATGAGTAGGGAAGCATGTTCAGTCTTCCTGGTCCTCCTGTAGTCCATGATGACCTCCTTGGTCCTGCCAATGTTCAGGGCAAAGTTGGTTTCAGAGCACCATCTTGTCAGGTGCTGGATCTCCTTTCAGTAGTGAGTCTCATTGCTGTTTGATATGAGACCTACTGCAGTTGCGTCTTCATACTCTGAACGCTTGCACATTTTGCCAAATCTTGCAATATTGCATGAGGTTCTACCCAACATCCTTTACAAGGTATGACCAAAATGGCTACAGTGCTATCATTTATTTTTTGTTATAAAATGTTCCTAGTTTGAAAGTCTGGCATAAAACTAGGCTGCAGGTGATATGCATTCATTCAAGGAATGCTTGGTCTTCAGTTTTAAGTTTTTCTATGTTTTCTTCTTCATTTAGCCAACAACGTTGTTCAAGATTCTATTAAAAAAGGCTCAGATTTTCCGAAACCTGGCAGAACATCCGATGGAATGAGTGAATTGCAGCTCTCCAGTATTTTTAATGTTGGGTAAGAATAAAACTGCTTTTTATTATTGAAGTTTACTTTAGGAAAAGAGCATCTGGTTATTCTGACTGACTTACTGTTAGGATGGCAATGCTGTCTGGATCTTCAGATGATCACTTTTCTGGCTGGAGAACAGGCTCTCAGCACAAAAGAGCAGTTGGCTTGGTGAGTTTCAGTCTGATGGGCAGAAGTAATGAGCAGAAAGTTCTCTGAATGTTGAAATTGTCTTCTCTAATTTATTTATTTTTTGCTATCTAGCCAGGGAGAGTACCTGGTGTACCATTCTCCATTCAAGAAAATAATAACGATGGTGATGAGAAATTCAATGAAAAAGTGTCTAAAAGAAGTCACGTGAACATTCCCAAAAGTTTGAACAGGTGTTATTTTCTTGCATCTTTCTATTTTTGTAAAAATTTATAGAACCTTTTGCTTTTGCTGCATAATGCTGTAGGTTGTTTAGAAAATGCTTACAGAAAACACAGGTGGCTCGTTCTATTTTACGTGAATTGTTATTGTTGCTTGGAATCAGAATGTCTGCCAACTTTATGAAAACATTTTCAAGACAGCCTTCATTAGGGCTGACAAGCAAAAGTAGTTTTTATCTTGGTGATTATCTGTTAGTCAGATTATATTCCAAATTATTTTAAATCATAAAAACATTGAATGAATTCTCTTCAGCTGTAAATCCTTAACTCCAGTATTTTTAGTCATAAAGTTAAAAAAATCACAACAAAGTCTTTGCCACTCTGGTATTTTTGTTCTGCAAGCAGAACTCTTTAAATATAAATTCACTATGAGTTTGTGTGCATTACTTGATATTTAATTGATGTGAAATTTTCCCCCAGGCAAACATCTGGATCACACAACACTTCTCTGTTACCACTTTCTTCTTTGAGAAAAACTGTGGAAAATGAAGGTCTAGTCAATGATCAAGTGAGTGCAATTAATCTTGCTTAGCATGCTTTATTGCCTGCTGTCGTGAAAGATGGACAATTATTGTAATTGTACACAAGCACACAGACATCTACAACTGATTAACTTTTGGAAGTTCAGGGTGGCTGTTAAAATGCATTCAACTTAAAACAAAAATGGCCATAACTTGGTCATTTTTATAAATAATTAAACTAAAATCTGGTGTGGTCATAGCAATGAGTCATCCCAATCACAGATTTAGAATACTAACTGTGATGTGCATTCTTTCATGGTGTGCTAGTTACATTTTCTGCGGTTTGATGTACACAATTTTTAACTTCTTCATGTAGAAATAAAAGTATTTGACTTTGTTTTTTTTTGTTTTTTTTTTTAGCCACTAGCTTTCATTTCGAATAATAACCAGTGTGAAGACCAGGCAGCGTCAACCACAACATTCCTCCAAACAAGTGGCACTAAAGGCTCCAGCAGAATGGAAGGTTGGTGTTATTCTGTTCACAGACAGCATAACCTGCAGCTTGTTAAATATTCATTTGAATTCTGGAACAGAGAGATCAACATACACTGAGGTTTTTTTTCCTTTGCAGATGTAACTTTTAGTTTTGATCAGATTATCAGATCTAGTTCTCCTGAGTCATGTTGGGTCTACTTGATAAAACTGGAGAAAAGTGGCAACCCTCACACAAACACTGGGCTCCTCAATAAACTCAAGGACTGCTATTCCAAAATTTTTACCAAGCTGCCAGTCAGACAGTACTGCAATAATGCCAGCTATGCCAGAATGCTCGTCCGATATGCAGAGCTTAAGGGGTGAGTCTGATTGAAACTTTCTTTTTATGTTTTGGGGGTATATTATATGTTGTGGAAATATTTGTGACCCATCATATCCAAATTAGGATTAAGTCAAATTAGGTCAAAATGACCCAATTACATTTTCAGATTCATGGCTTTAAAAGCTAAATTTTGATACTTGGATCAATCTGATATCATAAGCTTATCCAGAGATATGAACTCATTTGTCTTGTTGATTATGATAATACATTACTGTTTGGTCTGAATCCTAATTTTATGTAAATTTATTGAGTAAATTTTGATGTCACTATAAAGAGGAAACCTCAAATACTATTTGTATATTAAGATTTCCCAGTTGGAAAGAAACTAAAGCACTGCTAGCTTACGGGGGGGGGGAGGGGGGGGGAATCAAAAATTTAAGGCGTTTTTCCTCAAAATCAGGGTTTTTGTTGCTACTGCTCAAAAAATGGTTCAAAAAAAATTTTTAGGATTATATTTCAGACCAGTGGTGGAGCTTCAGTGGGGGGCTGGGAGGGTGGCACGCCCCCGGCCCAAGCCCATATGGGGCCCCGTGTTGGGGCCCAGACTATGGCTGGGTGGGCCATATCATATCATTCACGATAATACCAGTAAAATAAACTTGTCTGGGAAAATAAATTATATCATGATATGCTAATTTCATGACCGTCGTCATTTTGCCCATGTCGGAGAACCTGCTTGTCTGATAACGGTTTCAACAAATCAAGCAAACCCCACAGCTTTTTCCAATCAGAGCAGAGCAGGGTGGGCCTTTCTGATGTCGGTGCAGCGGTCTGCAGGATAAACGCCGATCAGCCTGCAGCTCGGCTCCTGTCCTGACTGAGCAAACCCCGTCCTCCACACTTTGCTCCCGAGACATTGGTATCTAAAGTCTAACACAGTTTATGTGTTCAGAGCTTCGTTATTGATCAGATATGTCCAACTTTGCTCGCGTGACCAAACTCCTCTCCTCAACAGCGCTGTTACGGGAGCGAGTTGCGCACAGGCTGAGTTGTTCTGTGGGAGACACTGTTTCAGCTCCTCCAAAATATTAACTCAGATGAACACTTGTTTGCCCCAGTATAGAAAAGATGAGTCTCCGCTTAGCGTTGGGCACCACCCCGCAATAAACAAAGCACAAAACAAAACAAAAAAAACCCCACTTCTTTTTGTAGTTTATTTTTTGTAGCTTATCTTTTATGTAGAACCATACTGTGAATGAACTGCTCTGTGATTCAATAAATGGTCAGACATGAAGAATAAATAGTGTAGAGCGGAGCGCTATGTTCATGCTGCCAGATAGCTTTGCTTTATTACTGGACATTGAGACTTTTTTTTTTCCAGCGGGCACCCCCCAACGACTGGGCCCACCAGTGCGACCGGAAATATTTTTAAGGCGCACTATTAGAAAACAAGGTTGCACCAAATTAGTCGCATTCTAGAGCCCTGCAAAATTTGCAGATGTGGCATAAGTTGTCTGAATCATCATAGACAAGGCCCTAAGATGTTCAGGTCCAAAAACCACAACCCCAGTCTTATCTGAGTTTAGAAGCAGAAAATTAAGAATCATCCTGGTTTTTATGTCTTTGAGACATGCTTGTAGTTTTAAGTTACTGATTTGGGGCGGCTGTGGTAGAGTGGGTAGAAGAGTCGTCGGTTCGATCCCCGTCCAGTCGACTCAGTCGTTGTGTCGTTGGGCAAGACACTTTGCCCGCCTTGCCTACTGATGGTGGTCAGAGGGTCCGGTGGCGCCTGTGTATGCAGCCTCGCCTCTGTCAGTGCGCCCCAGGGCAGCTGTGGCTACAATTGTAGTTTGCCATCATCAGTGTGTGAATGTGTGTGTGCATGGGTGAATATCTGCAGTGTAAAGCGCTTTGAGTGTCCTGGATGGATAGAAAGGCGCTATATAGATACAGTCCATTTACCATTAGATTAATCAGGTTTCATGGATAAATATAACTATCATCAGCATAACAATGGAATATTATCCCATGCTGTTTATCAATATTTTGCAGGAAAAAAATGTGCATTGTTCAAAATGGTACATCTGAATAACAGGAATCCGCTGGATTTCTTCTTAAAACTTTATTCTCAATCTTCTGACTCCAATCAGGTTCATACAGCAACTGCAACACAGGCCTCAGCATAAGACCTTGGGCTAAACTAAAACAAAACACAGGAGCTCTGCTCTGAGCAGAGACTCAGTAAAAAAAAACACACTCTATACAAATGGAAGCATGTATAAAGTAGATTGTTCCAAGCACTGGACCCTGAGGAACACCATGACTAACTTTGGTGTAAGAAGAAGATTAGAAGGTTAGAAGCCCTCCTATAAATATTGTTTAACAAACACCACTATGTCATCTTAATAAAGCAAAATTTCATCCCAAATTACCTTGCTGGGTCAAAGGAAAACAGATAAATAAAAGTGAAATCTAAGAGTGATTGCTCTTAGCAAATCTTGTTCGGGCTATTATCCTTTTATCTAATGATAAACAGGGTGCCATGAAAAGTTTTTCATGGCACCCTGTTTCATGAGTCATTAAAGTATTTCATGAATTACTGGCTTAAAACAAATAGTATTTTTCCATTACAGCATTTATTTTCAGTTAGGCTAAATGAAAAATACAGTTGAGCCAAAACTTATTTTTTTTGTCCTTTTTGTAGCATTGAAGATCCAGATGAAGCACGGGATCACTTCATACTTGCCAGGTCCAACTGCAAAGGTTTTGCCTTCGTCCATATTGCACATGCCCAGTTTGAAATATCTGAAGGTAAGATGGCAGAAGCAGCTCAGGAGTGGCAAAACAACAAAATTATTTGTTTATCCTTTTTAAGACGACCTAGATACGGCCCAAAAAAATCTCAAGATTTTTTTCATCCCAAATTTTATTTTAGATTTTAATCGATTTTGCTTCCCACTTAACGGAGTGCCCCTGTTTCAGGTGTCAAAACAAATTTGTTGTACTCCTATTTGTAGCAAAAACCTTCAAACAGATTTTGCAGTGAGGTGTTCGTTGCTCCAAGTCTGAGGTTGCAAAACATAACCAGTTCCAGATAACTGAGGAAACAGTGCCTTTTTTGGGAAGAAGATCCTCTTTGCTAGCTGCCATATTGTCATGTCGTGTACCAAGCGTCTTGAGGGACAGGTGGGGTGACCTCTGAACTACAGAAGCCCCAAA